TAAATTGAATACATTTTGTAAAATACTTTGTTTTCTAGTTGAAGACATTATTGAGGATAGAAATGAAGTAAATCCTATTTTAAATCCAGATGATCCAGATGAAATTATGCCAAAACAACCAAACATTTTGAACATATCTAATAATATGATTGTCTGTGTTGTTTATGTTAAAAAGATACGTGTTTGTTTTGTGTTGGTCGCTTATATTCAATCTTATTTCTTGTTTATAAGTATAGGTGTATAAGTGAATTCGATTTATGATAAGTATATTATAAGACTTAAAAATTGTTTCTTGGATATTTACAGAATTGGATTTTTTTTAAGATTGTAACAAGTTTGTGCATTATGTATTTTTATAAAGTGTATTTATTAATATTTGTCTTACTTATATAAATGTGAATGACGAATGTACTTTACTCTTGTTTCACACTAATCTTAATTTTGATGTACACTATATATTTTATAGGTACAAAACATGAAGATTTAAGATAAGGAGACCAAACTCCGTATACAAAATATGGCCCGACAAAAGTCGCACGGTTATTCTGCCACCAGGAGCGCGTCGTTCGATAGCAGTGCTACGTTTTACCACTTATTATACGTACTTTTCTATAAATGTACGTTCTTTTTCATTTTTTTGAATTCGAATGAAATATAAATTATGATTTATTATTTATTATTTATTACCTGGTCAGGTTAAAGTATACCTAAATATATAATCAAAGTTCAAAAGGTGTTTGCTAAAAAAAATTTTAAAATTCACATCATTATGTACTGACTACGGTCTATGTGTCTAATTAATAATGATAAATGAAACATAAAATACAGATATGGTAAATATAAAAATAATAAATTAATTATAGTTTTGACAACTTTCTACTACACTTGGTTTTTTCCTTTTTTTTTGTAGTTTCATTGTAGTTTGAACGTCTTACAATAAAATGCATACGCATTGTAATAAAAAAGCGAACAATACTTTTTGTCAAACCCATATTGTGTTCTTCACAACCAACAAATGGTAAAGATGCTGTGTCCGTCCATAAGTTTGAAGTTATAGAAAAAATTGTATTTACATTTAATTCTTCAGATACTAAAGTCTGTAACGTTATTTTTTCTAAAGTTGAAATAAGAGCAAAAAGACTATCTGATGGCCGAATCAAAAAACCTTTGGAGCGCATATCAATGAGTTTGTCTCTAGATGAAATAACTTCATTTTTTAAACTTAAAAGACACCTTTGACATTTTGTGAATCTGGTTGATTTTCGAGCAACGTATCCAGCTAAGTAAGATAAAACTAAACTCGATGTATCAGTCAAACTATATTCATGATCATGAATATATGGTGCAATTTCAATTTGTTCGGAATGTCCTTTGTCTAAAATGTCATCTAGTTCTTGATTTATTCTTTGGGCTCGTTCATTAGTGTTGGTTATATCTTTAATATTCAAAAGAGTATTTATCATATCTCCACCAGAAACATTGAACCCTTTGGAGGCTTTACTAATGAATATGTGCTTAGTAACCTAAACATATGTATGAATCATCCATGCCTATGTGCAAGCCCGGATTAATGGGGGGGTGGTCCAAGGGGGCCATGGCCCCCGGGCTTCGATAGTTAGAATTTATTAAGGGGCCTCAGATTTGTCCATTACTTTTTCCATTATAGGCTATAACACTGCATTAATCACCTAAAAAAATCGATGATTATTTAGCGAAGAAAAAAGCTTGTAAATTATAATTTATAAATAAAGTGATACATTATTCATTATTTATAGCTATGTACCTAATGGCTAATACCCATATATATTTATTATAACGTGCACCTAATATTAAATAATATAATTATTTTTTTTTTCGTACAGAGGCCTTATTTTAAATTTTGGCCCATGGGCCTCAAAATGTCTTAATCCGGGCATGCCCATGTGTTTAATAGCTAATTATTATAATATATATTTTATTTTTATTATTGAAACCAATTTTAAAACCTATTCTTGTATATATGTTTTGGATCTGATCCAGATCATAAAGTATTTGTAAGGAATAATAAATCAAGTTTAATTCGAAAAACGTACATAATCCCTATTATACTACATGCTATAATTGTAAAACGTAGCACTGCTATCGAACGTCGCGCTCCTGGTGGCAGAATAACCGTGTGACTTTTGTCAGGTCACTTTATAAACGAGCGGCTATAGGAGTTTGGTCTCCTTATCTCTAATCTTCATGGTATAAAATATTTGTAAATGTTACAACTTAAATATAAGTATGAATATTTAGTAACTAATAGGTAGGTATGTAGTTAATTACATAAAAATAAGGTCATGATGGACTGACAAACACCTTTTTGCTGAAATTCAGGAAATTGGAGCCTTGGTCAGTTATAAATGCTTTGACATTCAAAGAAATATTTTGAAGTTTAGCAAAAGTAGCCATAATAATGTTATGTAAGTAATTTCCCGTACAACTGCCAGATACCAAAAAATATGCAATAGGTTGTTTCCATTGAGTATTAATTCCACAAATCATCAACACAAATGCAAATTTAGCCGGATCATAAGTTTTTGTTGAATTTGTTTGATGGAATCCGATAATTTCATCCTTCCTCAATGAATAAAATAAATGTGTTTTAAGTGCCATTTCATCAGCGCATAAAGTGCAATCAAGTGCTACTGGTTTAAAATTTAAAATTTTAAGCTTTAAAAATTCAAATAAAAAGTCATTCAGTCCAGGATTTCAACTCATATTTACTCATAAGTCTTCTTAAAGTTCTTGGTACTGGAAGACACAGAGTAGGTCTCAAGAAACGGTATACAGCTGGTCCTAAAAATATATCGTATATCGTTAGTGCAAATTGTTTCAATTCATCTGAGTACCTGTAACCATTTGGACGTTTTTTCTGACAACGAATATGTGATTTAACAATGGTTAACAAGCTTGGAGATAACAATTTTTCACATTTCTGCATATAGTTTTCCTCATTGTTTATGTCTGCCAACTTTTGACTCAAAGTGGCAATAGTTTTTTGTGCTTCAATCCTTGCCTTCTTTTCAAGTTTGTACTTTGATTTCAAGGATTGTTTTCTGGGTGTGTCGTCAGACCACGACTTCAGTGTTTGAACAGCTACTGACGATGCTAAACAAATATATATAGAATATAGAATATATTATAAGATTAAACATGAATTGAATTTAAAATCAATATATTAATTATGCATAGACGTAAATAGCGTTTTTAATTTCATAAGGCTTAAGCACAAAAGATTTCAAGAACAAAAGAGTGCGGGATATTCGTTTTATATAACGTTATAACGGAAAAAAATTGATCGGAGTGAAAACGCTATTCATGCAATTGTATCAGAAACAGATGTCACATCCAATTTTGATGTATTACAAGATAAGGTAGCTACAGCTCTAAACAATAATAGTGATGTAAATGGTATCACTCAATATCACACAAACTATTAACAAAAACACGTAAAGTAAATATTATGCTAAAACTTTTTTGTTTCATACTCAATACTTATTACATATTTATTTATATTTTACTTTGCATAAGTAGTTAGTCAAATGTCAATAATTTAAACTTGACAATAGGCCTATTTTAATTTAAACTAAATTATTTGTATAAGTTGTAAAAGTACTTAGTACTCAATCATATGCCGCTCTTTAAAAAAAAGAACATACAAATATTTGATTTCAGAATTCCAATCAAGAATTAGCTGAGCAAATAGCCCAATATGACGATTCTAATTCATTAGAAATAAGTGTTATCACAGATGATTTTGAAGAGTATCTGAGAACAACTTCACAAGCTCAAACAATACCTCCAACTATTAATCTCAATAATTCTTATAATGAGATAAAAACAAAAATTGATGATTTTGCAAATATTGATAGAGTTAATTGTGAAGAAAATGTGGTTAAGTATTGGTTGGCAAAGAAACATGAAATTCCAGAGTTATTTGAGCTTGCAGAAATTGTTATCGCTGTACCAGGCTACTCAGGTAAATATTTCTTGTGCTTTTAAAGTTTTAAGTGTATGTCCTATGTAATATGAATTTACTGAAATGTTCATATAATAAGCATTAAACACCATTGTTTATTTCTAATTAGTTATATTTATTATTTATATTAATTAATAAATCATTTTAGGTGAGTGTTGAACGCAGTTTTTCTGGTCTTAAGTTCATTTTGTCTGACTTAAGATCATCATTATCCTGTCAAATGTTGGAAAATATTTTAATAATACAAGGAAACGGCCAATAGTTTATTAATGTACTTATATTATTTATTATTTAAATATAAGTTTGTTTGAATAATTATTAACTTCTATGTCTAAAATTGTATTATCTTGAATATATGTGAATATAGTAAATTATACACCCAAACTAACATTAACGTATTAGTTAGCTCTTTCCTAAAAACCCTATTAAATTCTACTTATTTCATAATTCTTGTACAGCAGAGTGGATAATTATGCCAAAAATTACAATAGTTTATTGAAAAAAAAATTTAGTTCTATATTTTTCTTTAAATTATAACATTTAACAAAAACCGAAAAATTAAAATAACGTTTAAAAATCTAATAACGTTAAAAGGAAAATATAAAATAACGTTTCAACGTACAATAACGTTAAACATTAAAACTGTATAACATTTTAACATACAATAACGTCAAACATTAAAATTGTATAATGTTTCAACGTACAATAACATTAAACATTAAATATGTATAACGTTTAAATAGGAAATTTAAAAATGACAGTATTTAATAACATTAATAATAATTGTATTTGAAAAAAAGAAAGTATTTAAACACATGCATACAAATAACTTAGAACATAATATAAGTCATTATACAATATAAAATGTTGAATTTAATTCCTTAAATCATAATATATTTTCAATTTTCTATGCCTGTGTTGCACAAGTGTTCATTTATCAGCCTTCATAGCACTCTTGGCGGTGATAACTGTCTGTAGTAAAATTTTCAAGCAAGCGTCAAGCACAGAATAGATGAAATGAAGAATGAAACAAGCAACGATACATTATCAATACACCTTGAAGAGGATAAATTATGATAAAAATGTATTGTTGAACATAAAATATTATAAACTAATTAAACAGTAGATAATTGTAATTTTATAAAGTAAAAACTGTACAAGTACAACTTACAATTTTTCCCTGACTCATTTGTTTCAAATGAATAATTTGACTCCGAGTCAAGTGAAACATAGGAGTGATCAGTATATGGACTGTTCATGGTGTTGTGTGAAATCATATTCTTAGTTAGAAGCAAGTTACCTAACAAATGAATTTATTGAAATTAATGTTATGGGTAGAGTAGGTAATAATACATATGATAAATAAATAATATAATAATTACTTGGTGTTCCAGAATCTAATGGTAGAGCTAACACATTTGGAGAAGAGAGAATTGTTGTTTCACATTCTGCTGGAGCATTTGATATATTATTGTCAACAGTAGAACAAAAATCAAGTTTACGTGAAATGCTTCTGGAAGATGATGGTGTATCATCTAAAACATAATACAAACTATACAGTATAATTTATTTTAAAACATAATAAAACAATCTAATATAAAAATGAAACTGTACACTCACTTATAAAATGTCTTGGTATAGAATGACTATGAAGTCTATTTTGAAGATCATTTAAAAACATTTTTTGTTCAAAATGTTCGCCACACACTTTTAAGGATTTTTTTATGGAATCAACAGGAATTATGATACCACAGTTTTCAATCCACTTGGCACGGCTATGATTAAGAATTATTTTTTAGTTTTGTTACATTTTTCTATATAATGAATTTATTTTATTTTATTATACATACTTAGTTGGATCCCTCGGAAGCGAAAAATAACGAACGTTAGGATTTTGAGCCATTTTGTTTTGACAACCTTTTTTTTTTTATTTTTATTTGGCATAAACAATCTATACTATTTGAAGCACAATAGGTTTATATGATAAGAGTAATAGAACATGATTATTTTGAATAAGCAGCCACCCATTAGTGGTTCTGGGCTAATGAGTTTTGACAACCTGAATACGAACATTTGATATAATTCTTTGGAATATTTAATGTATTCATTGTAAAAATTAATACACCAACAAACACAAGCAATTGACAAAAAAAAAAATTCAATTAATGCAAATAACAATTAACACAAGCGCAGAATAATATGTGAAATTGTGAAAAATGAATTTCGAAATACCGATAGGCCACGAGTATACACAAAAGCGATGTCTGATAAGACTAGTGTTCATTACAACTTAATTTTATAACCTAACAAACTTTCTGACAGCATAAATAAGAAGACGGTGGCTACCACCCCCACTACATGCAAAACGTGTCCTTTCTGATTTCATCTATTCTGTGGTACAATAGTGTTACGAGGCGTAATATATCAACGAATAACTATGTATACCCGGCCACACTACACAAGACATATATGCTGTAGTATTATAAAAATGTATAGTCAGCGTCTGCTGAACTACAGTGTGAATATATAACTCATACACTACATTATATAGGGTATTTTGTTTATAATTCAAACAGTGTGGTTTTTGAGAAAGCCATATTGTTGTTTTGTGAATTTTTTGTTTGTTTCGAGAAACCATAGTAAGCGTTTATTTATCATTTTTTCGAGTACTTTGCCAAGAGTACTAATAGGTAAGCGATATTGGACGGTAGCTGAGAATATTGAATTTATCTTTTCCTGGCTTTGGTATAGGGATTACAAATGCATGTCTCAATTGGTTAGGAAAAATTAAATTGTTCCAAATTAAGTTGTAAATTGCAAGTAGAGTGTTAATTGCGTTTTCGGATAAGTTCTTCAAGAAGGAAAAAGGTATATTGTCAGGTCCAGGACTTTTGGTCTTGTAATTTTGTAGTGCAAAGAAGAGTTCTTTTAAATTGAATGGGTATTGTATTCCGCGGTGTTAGGTTGAGGATTGAGATTGACTGTGAAATTGTTTTCAGTTTCGTTTTTGAATATTAAGAAATCATTCCCATAGTTTGTGTAACTGCTGTTTGTTTGAAATGACTCGGCGAAGGCTTGGGTAATTTCAGGGGCTGAATTTAGTTCAGTATGGTTATGGTGCATGTGATTAGATAGAAGCTGGTGTTTACATCCTTTGAGTGCACGAATTTTGTTCCAAACTGCTAGTACTGTGAGTTCTGATGTTTATCGTGAATGTATATTTTTGCCAGCATTCGATTTTACTTTTTGTAGTGATGTATCTGGATTCAGCTTTGTATTTATTAAGTAGAATTTGGTCTGTTTGAAGTTTGGTTTTCTTAAAGTGGTTAAGGGCTTTTTTTGTAATAAGTGATTGCAGTTCTGCAATCTTCGTTCCACCATTGTACTGTTCTTTTGTTGAGGGGGCGATTAGATTTTTCGATTGCTATGTTAGCTGCCTTTATTATTAGTGTTGATAATTTTTTTATCAGTTCATCGATATAATTTTGGTTTATGGTTCGAGTATGTTCATTGAGAGGATCTAATTGGTTTTCAGTGATGCACTGGTCGACAAGACCGGAGAATAGATCCCAGTTTGGTGACTTGAGTTTCCATTTATTAATAGGATATGATTCAGAAGGTTGATGAAAAAGTTTTAACTGAATAGGCCACTGGCCTGCTTCCATTATAGGCTGGAAGAGTGCTATATTCAATGTTGGGGGCAATGTACTTGTACTTGCTATAGTAGTAAGCAAGCTACTACGTAAAATTTAAAGTCCCAACAGGTAATATATCTAGTATAGTATATTGTAGCTAGGTAATAACGATAAATATTATAAAATAGAAATTAGTTAACCTTCAATTACATTTTGATACAAAATAATCGAACAACCCATGGGAAGTTAAGTAATCAATACGAAATTATAAACAAATTTACAATTAATCAATTATTGGCCCAAAGGAAAATGATATTCAAAAATAATACCACTACAGAGTAGCATGATTTCACAATCATATAATATGGGAGGATGTGATATTTTCAATAGCGTTATTCTATATAAAAAAAATATAATGATTTAGTTTAATAAAACTGGTAGCTAATAAATTAACTATCAGTACATTATAGTAATACGCAGAATAGATTAGGAGTTTACAAATGCGAAGTTGGGGCGATGGCCACATAGACCACATCCGTGGGAACCGAGATACAATATCACTAGGCAAGGGGAGCGGGGACCGGACTATAAGAGGGACCCCGAAATGGCCTGTATTCAGACGTGTCCACTCATCTCTACTGCAAGCACCTTCACGAGACTTTGTGTGAATTTTACTATTTTTAAATGATGTGTAATGGGCTTGAGACTTGAGTCATAGATGGACCATGATGGCAAACCACAGAATTAAGAGCATATGATTTGCCATCGACCTTAATTGTTGCCACGGGTAATGAATTAATCAACAGATTGCTTATTTTATTTTATTATCGTTCCAAGTTTTCAGCATGGTAATATAATACCGTCTCGCTGGACCACAAGTTCACCAAACAAACACAGTCGACAGTCGTTAAAATCGCCAATCGTCTTACGTTGTCGTCGCCGCCGCCACCGTCGCGATGAGAGTTGTAGTGGGGATGGATAAGAGGTGGGTCGGGAATATCGTAAATATCCCCCGACCAACCGCTTATCCCATCCCCACTGTTCCGCATGCAAAATCGGTCTTAAAAGTACTTGAACATTTTTGCTTATAACTTATAAACTATCTAACCAATCTGTTATTTAGTTCCTCTGTTCCCATCTGCATAATATTTCTGATCGATTGATACCTCATACGACTTTAAATGTTCAGTCGTTTGCCATATAGAGCTTGGCAAAGAATTGACATAAATTAGGACGTTTTTTCAATGTTAAAACTCGGTTTCCTGTTATTATACGTTAGTGGGTTACTCCGCTATTTTTTTTTAATCACAAAGGGTAACTCTAATTAATAAATTAATAGAATTTGGAATTAGGTACTATGTGTGTTCACAATTTTAATAATACACAATATAATATAATAATGCCACAGCAGTAGGGGAGACTGGGTACAATTGTAACAATTTTCATAAAATGATTTATTTCAAACAGGTTTCAAACGTTTTTGGTCTGACAACACTTTTAATGGGTTAAGTAACATGTTGCCTTTATAAATATATGAATAATTAGTTTCAAATGTCACTAGTTGTTGAATAAATAAGAGTTAAAAAAAAAAAAAAAAATGTTACAATTGTACCCATACTGGGGACAATAGTAACAGCATCAGGGACAAATGTAACGCATGTTTATGAATTTATTATATCATTCTATAATTGTTCAATTCTTTTCAAGAAATCAAATAATAAAAATAAACAAAAAAAAAACAAATTATGATTAATGCTTATAAAATTAAATAGTATGCCTTTACCTTTTTAAAATTAATAAAATTCATATAAATTGTAATAAATATTAATATTATATCACATCAAAATGAGTAGATAAATTGTGAAGTTTTTTACAATATACAAACTTGGTTAAATTATTTAAATCTTTTTAACAAATAAAATAGAAAAATGCATATAGGTAATTATAAACATAAAAACAAAATCATACACTATATAAATAACAGTATACTTTTAACCTTTTTAACAAATTAATAACATTTTCATAAATTTTGAGCACATAGCTTTATTATAATAAAAAAAAAAAACCAAATTATACATTATATAAAATATAACAGTTTAGGTACTAATAACCTTTTTAACAATTAAATCATGTAAATTGTATATTAATAACAAAATTAGAAACAAAGTAAATACATATCAGTGAGTGCCATAAAATAAAACCATTAAAAAAATATCACCATTATTATAACCTACCTAATTATCAGCCTCACAGTTATCACAAATATAGTAAGCTGTATAGTTCTGTGGAGTACAAGCTTCATGAGACCATAATTTACACCTCACGCATTGGATCCACGGTTCTCCACTCTTACTGTCAGAATATAATTCAGAACAAATTGTACAAAAAGCATCTTCATCATCATCACTATCAATAACTAAAGTCTTATTTTTATTTTTTTGTTTTTTAATTGCTGTACCTAACCTAACATTGGTGGAATGGCATTTCCAACCGCACTAACAGCTAAACACATGGTGACCAAAGTTCCACGTTCCGCAGACGTTATGGCACCAATTTGTTTTTTACCTTTCTGTGCTACTATTTTACATGGATTTTGTACCGTGGTTATACCAGTCTCATCTAGATTAAAAATCTGAAATGCCTCGAATTTATGTTTAGTAATCACTGATTCATATTTGTCCATAAAAATGTTTACGTTAATCGGATTAAAGTTCATACTTCTAGATAAACTAGTTGCCTCTGGCTGACGAATAGACAAGGTAGGATTACGCTTAATAAAATTAAGAAACCAATCAATACCAGCAAATTCGTTCTCAGTCCAGTAAGCTGGCATTTTCAAATTCATTTTTTTAGCAAATTCAAATGCTAGTTTTCTGACATCTTTAGTGCTTAAGCCGAAATACATATCAGCACAGTTTTTTAAATAAGTAGCCAACATTATTTCTTGGTCTACATCAAATATTCTAGTGTGTGGTCTATAACCACATTTTGGAGGAGAACCACCAAACTCAGTAGCTCTTACCTTTTTTATGTAACGGTTCAAACTAACGTGACATATACCTAGGTTTTCCCCAACTGATCTCTCAGATTTTCCTTCATTAATGCACATATCTGCAGCTCTTCTCATTAAATCTGGGTCATTTCCTCGGTTTGAGGTCTTTTCTCGTGTTCGCGGCATACCTGTGTTATAAATAAGTAGGTACATTAATGAAGTTTCAAATCAAATTAAATGTTACATTTGTCCCCATTCAATTTTTTTGAATTGTATCAAATATTTAAAGAAAATACTTACTAGACAGAGTTCTTCATCAACACTAATTTGAAGAGAAGAATATTCTCTTTTCACGTAACGTACAAAAATAAAAATAATGATAAAACTTAGTCATTGGTAAACAAAATAAAATGTTTGTTTTTTTTTACTTTTCGTTGTCATAATCACTTTTTGTTATTTTGTTTGTAAAATAAATATGATATCAGCAGTTTGATTAGGAGATAATAATCATTACGCAGTGGGACAACTGTCGTATTTATTTGACATTTTTGTATTAGTTATGGAACAAGTTATAGCCAGTGTTACAATTGTCCCGTGTTACAATCGTACCCAGTCTCCCCTACAAGGTATAAATTGTGATAATTAGCGGCACCGAAGTAATAATACAAACAATATTAATAATAATATATATAAAAAAAACTCACCGATAAGACGGTGCTCGGCTGGCCAGCTGCTACTTATGTCTAAATAATAATATTCAATAATGTGATTTTCACACACGCACACTCAAAATACTAAAAGGTTTACAATAATAATAAAACGGCAATTCTTGCCTGCGAAATATGTAATAATTAATAAATACAATATTAATAAAAACAGCAATTCGTGCCTGCGAAATATAAAATAAATATAATTTTATACGGCGATTAGCGCACATAACAATAATACTTTCGACGATTTGCGCCTTTCAATAATTCTATACAATACTGGCGATTCGCGCCTTTCATATAATAAAACAAGCTTTCAGCAATTCGCGCTTTCGATATAACAAACAAAACTTCTGGCGATTCGCGCACGTAATAATGATACACATTCTGCGTAAGCACCATGACAAAATATATAGGTATGTCAGCAACTTTGTGATACGCATATCCTCGGGAAGTACCCCCAATTGTTTAACCGTATATAAGTCCTCGTACGAACTAGACATTTGATGACTTCATCCGGTATATGCTTAAATGTTTAATATTTTTTCAAATATATTACTTAAATTTTTATTATACTAGGTGTTTTCAAAAGGCTGTCTCCGTGAAACTCATTGAAATCTACTTCTAATTGTTCAATTGCTTTTTCGAGGCTATATGAAGGCGTTTTTAGATTTCCTTTTGAAATACATTGTGTCCAACTGTTTGATTTCTGGCTATTATCAGTATGGCTAATCAAATGTGGATATTTACTTGAAAAACGATTATCGACATAGCCGGCTACATATTGAGCACATTCTTTCTCCAGTTCACTGAATGGTTCTTCAGTTTCCATCTGAAAAGTAATAGTTAAATTTTATAATTGAATTTTAAAACTATCAATTTTTAATGTATGCCTCAAATTGTTTAAGGAGATCAAAATTTGATTTTGATACAACTGTTTTCATTGAACCTAAATGCCTTTCTACTTCTGCTGTGTTTTCAAATTCTGAAGGCTGTTGTAGATCAGTCAACATTTGAGAAGTTAAACACTCCTGGTCATCTAAAGTTAACAGACTGGTTTCAAGACTAACTTCTGTATTGTTGTTTTCGGTGAATAACAAATCTGAGTATTTACCCAATATATACCAACGCAAATTACAATATACACAATAATAATAGTTATCATAGAGTATTGTCAAGAGTTTCATAGATATCATAATTATACTTAAATTTTTACATAATTTTGTTACATATTGTAAGTAGTTACCAGTATTTAAAATCTAAAACGATTATATTGTTACTGGCACTCCCATCCATTCCCTTTAAAAAACTAAAAAAGTTTTCTAAAATGTCCTGGTTCAGCTTTCTTGTTAAGACATATTGAAGTCCATATACATTTTTCAGGTCTTTCATCAAATTTTTTAGGGATATGTTGCTGACTAAAATTCCTTTGGTAGGGTTAACAAATCAAAAAAAAATACATTATTAGTTATGAATTATTAGAAATAAATAGTAAAAAATATTACCCTTTTGAAAAGGAAGAAGTGATTTCTTGCCATGAACTCTCATATTTTTAATGAAATTGTTCATTTTCTCAATTGGCTCATTTTGAGTTTGTTCATTAAGCCCATAACTCTCTACACCTTCATCGTACTTATTTTGCGTATTTAATAAATCGCACCATTCATTGAATAATGAAATGATATCTGCAGCCTATTTCAAATAATAAACATTTAATTGGTCAGCAAAGTAATATAGCATTAACTATATAACTTGATAATAATTATTCGGTTATATGTAGGAGCTTAAGGTATATTAACGTTCCGTATCCATTAGAGACGTACATTACATTATATTATCTCCATTCACACACTGAGAAAACATTGTTCCCCAATTAAAAAATTATAATACTTACATCTCTCCAGTTATATGTATTTAAATCTCCCTTTTCTCCACAAAATGTGATTGCTTTAGCTACAGTGTTGGAAAGCAACTGAACAGCCAGTTTCACATTCATCCGTCCTGTTCCCTCAACCATCAAATGACGGCTAGTAACTTAATGATCTAATTTATAATTATGTCCTGAGTTAAGGTTAATTAATTAATTAATTCTTCAAATATATTTACCATTAGGAAGAATAAAACCTCTGAATAAAATATTAGTGTTTAGATATTTTATAATTACATTTAATGATTTAAAAATTAACTTCATACTTATCAAGTAAATGATTCCTGGCTAACTTCAGCAAATGGGATACATCTGCAAAGACGTAAACTTGATTTTTTGATATGGGATGTTCAAATGAGGTATTATCTATAGATATATTTAAACTATTCCATAGCCTCATGTTAGTTGAACCCATGTCATTAACTATAGAAATTACATTAAAGCCAACGTTATGCAACTGCTCTATAATTTGAAATAGTAACTCTTTTGTCATTTTTTTTGTCATAGCCGTAATATATTGGTTGTTTCCAATTATTAACTAACCCTATTACAGAAATAAAATGGATAGTATTTTAATAATACAAATATATAATCATTTATTTTGTATTTATGATAAAATATTGAAATGCAATATATACCTCGAACAATAACGGTTTGAATACATTTCTGTGGTCCAATAACACGTTCATTTTTCTTATCGAAACATATTTTGTTTGATACATATGATTCATCGAAACATATAACTGATAATTTTTCAGTTTCATTCATGAAATCTCCTTAAAAATGTAATAATTAATTCAGTTCAGATAATTTAAATAATAAGTATTCTGAAATTAACACCTTAAGAATTTTAATAAGTTAAGAGCAAATGAATAATTATCATTCTACAATTCTTATGTGAGTATATTATTACCTTTAGCTTTCATTAGGGATAGAACACTAAAAAGTATTCCATCTTCAATACAAAATCTTGCAGCCCATGTTCTGAGGGTAGACAGACCTTAAAAATATTATTTAAATATTTGATACAATTTTAAAAACTCAAAGGAAACTCAAACTAAACCAATTTTATTAACCTGGTAGTGGAACATTTTTTTTGGTCCTTAAATATCGTTATGCCTTTGGAGAAATACTCCTTAATGTAATGGCACTCGAAATATCTTCAGGCGTCCAACGGTACACCTTTTTTGTAGGATGAAGAAACAAATTAACCTGAAATAATATATATTTGGATATTTTGGTAAACCTTTTTTTCTGCTGCCACTCAAACATCCAAAAAACTCACACATCGGCATTGTAATAAAATATGTAATACATTATAATGTACATAAAATGATTGTGTCAAAGTAATAAATCACGAGAAGGATAAGCAATAAGTTACATAAGAAACAGGATTATATTTATGTAAATAATATAATCAATCGATAAGTTCTGATTAGTCATTACTCATTAGTGATTGTATAGATAATACGCATAACCATTGATTAAATTAATATAAAAAGTATTTTAATCAATTATGGCATAATTACCATAACTAGTTTATACAAAGTAAATTCATATTTACGCGGTAACCAAGTTCTTTATAATAAGGACCAATGAAAAGCGGAGAACCTAATACACAGGAAAAAGTAGGGATGCGCCGACAAGATTAAAATTCGTACTGTTGCTGACATACCTATATATTTTGTCATGGTAGGCACTACAGAATGAACTGGTTGGGTCGTGGTAAAATGATACGTTGACCGGCTCGTCGGTGGCCGATCGCGCGTAATCTACATTCTACATATTATATAACTTAAATTAGGTACGAAAATACAATATAAAAATGAACACATAATGTGGGTGTGAGTGTGTGTGTGTGTCGGTCGGCCGGCGATAGTCATATCATAATTTTCTATTCGGCGGAAACATAGATAATTGTTGAAGAAAAATAAGTTGATATATTGAAGAAAAATAGATTTTGAATTAAAAGGCAGTAGATGACCTTATTGAATAAAAGTAGTTGACGTCAAGAATTCGGAATAAAAGTAATTTTAAGCGTAGCCTAGAATAAGTATATTAATAAGATATAATAAAAATAATACATTTTTGCGTGATACTGACGCGGTCCCGCGCAAAATCTGTTTGAATTCAAAGTGGCTTCTCAATTCGAAATTCCCAATCGACGACGGACGACGCCGGCGCGCGACATCCGCGCCTGGAAACGTCGACCGGCCGTTCGGCGAACCGGCTCGTACAAGTCTCTTGTTTTTCTCTACGACCCAGACACGAACCTCGTCACGCACGTCCCCGCGAGAAAAACCACTACTATTATAGTTGCTTATCCGATACCGTTTCTCAATTTATTGAATGATTTTATACATCAAATAAAAACTGAACTACACCAGTACATCTTTGTTGTTTTTTTTTGTTTCTTTTGGTTACCTTCACCATCCACGCGGCACCCCACAGGTCCGCATCAAATTGGCTCCCCGAACAGGAATCACCGGTAAGTGAAAATTTTCTTTTTCCCTTAACTTACCCCATACTACCACCACCAATAACCCCCGTTGCGCGATTTGGAAAAAGTCACCAACGCGATCCGACAAAAACGTGGTTTGCAGGCGTTAACGGAAAAACTGGCGTTACGTAATATATTGCATAACCATAATGCCGGGTTCACACTATTGCAATTTCTCGCATTGTAGACTTGCTTGCAATATATATCATGCAAGAATACGCATGATAATACGCAAGTGCATGTTCACATATATGCTTGTATATGTCAAGTATTGCATGTATTTATAAATATTGTTTAGTTTCAAAAGTGATCTGATCGCGACTAGAAGTGCTGTTTTTTTTTAATTTTGAAACATTTTTAATTTTTACGAGACTGTTAAATGGATCCAACAAAAAAAGTAGTAGGTACTTATTGTTTGGGCATAAATCTAATTTGGGGGCCAAGCGATTTTTTCAATTTTTTTTATCGAAAGTTATGTATCTCATCGAGTTAAGAACGATGGTGCAATCAGATTTTGTCGCTCTCATTTAGTTCCGAAGTTATGGCCTTCCAAAGTTTTCGATTTTACGTTTATACGCATGCGTAAAAATATAAAAAAAAAATATAAAAATATAAAATATAATTTATACTACAAACATATATTATGTTACATTACCTCAACGTGACTGCTAGTTTTTCAGCAGCAGTCATTGGTTATCTAATTTTGATGCTTGGGTTGGTTTTTATGTCTTCCTCAACTAGGTTCAATACATAATTAAATTGATCCCAATTTAATCTAAAAAATTCCCTGAATTTGGTTTCGTCTCGCCATAAATGTTTTTCAATCAGGACACTGAAAAATCCTTCAGCTTCTCTAGCTAAGTACATTTCATGCACTTCATTTTTATTTTTTGATACAACGTATTTTATGATAGCTTGTTCTTCTTCTGCTTGTTGTAAAAGAAGTAGTTGTAAGATCAATTTTTGTTTTTTCGTTAAGGACATGGTTAAACTAGTAAAATGGTAATATTTTAAAACGCACTTTTACGAGTATACAAGTACAACCGTTTCAAATAGACACAACTACGTGTACGTGTGTAATTCTAGTCCCGTAGTGTTCTAGCCGCGCGTCTCCTGACGCATACATAGGAATTAATATTAGATCGCGCGGCTAAATAAATGACCGCGCGGCCAAAATTCAAATCGCGCAGCGTCGGCCCCGCGTCTGTAGACGCGTGCATAGGAATCACACCTTTAAAGGTTCCATTACGTTACAGTACTGCGTCAAGAAACCCATTCATTTGTCTTTAATTTTGTTAAACGTAATTCTTCAAATGCTTTAATAATTTCAGTTTTATGAGCCAGTACCTTTTTAGCTGCGTCGAATAACGAGTTCTATCTTGTCATAATAGGTACTGGAAATTTGCAACCACATAATATCTCAAACACTGTCAGATGTAACCATGCTCCCACTTAATAAATTCCAAAAGCTTTGCAATTTTTTAAATGACGATTCAGACATTTTATTGTATTTACTATCATCAATTGAAGAAATATCACGTGTTGCTATCAAATTTAAACTATGGGCACATCAAGTAATATGTGATGGCAGAGAAAAATTATCATTCACTGCGTCCGATACCACTGGAGTTGAGAGTACCTCATTGACATCTAACAAATTTATGTTTGTATCTTCCTCGTCAGTGTATCAGTACTACAGCTACCAATATCACTAACTTCATTGAAATTGCCGAAAGAATAAGAATTTCCCTGATGTACATCAGGTAAAGGTTTAGAAAATATTTTAAATGATTTACTAAAATTACTGGCGTCGTCTGTGATAGTATGACAGTATGAGTAATTTTTGAATGGTCCAATTTGTATGTTTCAGTTATACCAGTTATCTCAGCAATATTAATTTAGTTATGGCTTCCTTCATTCTTCTACATCCTAAAATATTTGAATTTCGTTCATATGTAGACTCATTTATCATATGGCACGTCATACCTATATAAAAAAATGAATTTATAATAATACAATTTTAAGTTGCTTATAAAATGTATATGTATAATATAATACCTACAATTATACCATACCACAAATAGTTAAAAAATGTTATTAAGTATTACCATTGATTATACATAGTATAATATTAAAGTACACATTGTGTATTATACTATGTACTATAATCCACTGAAATTAGTTGAAAAATAGGCGGCTTTACACGTGGTCGAAGTACAAATGAAAGTGTCTTAAATAAATGGGTTAATGGATTATTGACTGCAAGCAACATTAGCGAAGGCCTTGAACATTTTTGTGGTTTTTATTTTCACTCTGGGGAGCAGCATGTTGATGCAAGTGATGCTCGCATTAAAAGAGATGTTGAAGATGTTAAAAAATTATTAGATTGGTTTAATTCGCATGATCCTTTTCCTTATACAGAGACCATCATGTCAATTGCAACAGGAGTTACTGGTGATGAAAAAATAAATTGTCATGTTGCTTGGAGTGTTGGAATGGCTGGTATAGATAAAAAAATTGGCTGTACTTTCGGCAATGTTAAATTCCAGCGTGCGGATAGAGTACTTTCATTATTAACCGTCAATAGTACGGTAAAAATTCACGATAACGAAACAGCTATTGATCCATTATTATTGTTCCAAAGAATTATTGTCATAAAAAGAACTAACGAAGAACTTCGAAATTATTTAGAGTATGAGCTGGCTCCATATCCTTTATCAGTTTTTGATGAAGCTTGTATGCGTAAAACTACTAAGTCACTTTTTTATGACAATTTTGAAAAAGTTAAATCTCCACCCGATTTGCAAAATGACACTTATGTCATCGATGGAGGATTTCTCCTGCGTAAAGTTGTGTGGGATATGAATCAAACATATGATGACATTTGTGGGAAATATGTTGATTACGTGCAAAATCACTTTGGCTCAAAGTCAATTGTTGTCTTTGATGGCTATGAAAATATCAGCAACAGCGTAAAAGGTATAGAACAACTTCGTCGATCCTCAAAAGCTTCATCTGTTGATATTTGTTTTGATAGGAAAATGATCGTTACAGTTAGCCAAGAAAAGCTTCTTTCCAACCGAAAAAATAAAACTAGATTAATTTCAATGCTGACAGAAAAGTTTGAAGCAAATAATTTTTCTATTAAACATGCTCAAGATGATGCTGATATATTAATAATTGAAACAGCAATAGAGCAATCTGAGAATGATACAACAGTTGTTGTTGGAGAAGATATAGATCTCCTTGTTATTCTAACTGCTCGCACGCCTATTGACAAACAAGTTTTCTTCTCAAACCAGGCAAGGGAATCATTGAACAAAAAATTTATTCGTCACGAAGCTTTAATCACCAAGAAAATATAAAAAATAATGTGTTATTTTTGCACGCATTCTCTGGGTGTGATACTACATCGGCTCTTTTTCATGAAGGTAAAACGGCAGCATTGAAACTCATGAAAAAGGCAACGATTTACGAATTGCAGCTGGCTGTTTTAATAATTCTGAAACTTCCCATGAAACTATTTCCTTAAATGGAATTAAGTTCTTCCTCGCAGTTTATGGTGCTTCAGTTAAGGAAACGTCCATAAATAACCATCGTTACTCATGTTTCACTAAGTCTGTGGGAAAAGGCAAACCAGTGAAATTGAATTTATTGCCACCCACTTTTGAAGCAGCACAACAACATCTCTTTCGTGTGTATTACCAAATACAAAAATGGTTGGGAAATGAATTAAATCCTCTGCACTGGGGATGGGTAATGAGAGACAACCTTAGGGGCCAAAAACTACAACTCAACCTCCCGCACCTGATTGTCTTTTACATATGATTTTTTGTAATTGCACAAAAGGTTGTGGGCCATTGTGCGGTTGTCGGAGATTAGGCCTGTATTGTTCGGCAGTTTGTGGAAATTGCCAAGGTCTATCGTGTTTAAATACAGAGCCAGTTGAAGACGATCAGTTGGAAAAACAAACCATGGGTGACACTGAAATTCCAGGATTGGATGATACTAATTCGGCAGATTTTCAACAGAATATTGATGATGATGAATATGCTGATGAAGGTGAATAAAAAAAATAATATTTAATAGATTAATACATTTTTATAATTGGTTTAAATATTATATGATGAAATAGTATGAAATAGGGTACCTATTATGAATTATGATAAAAATAAATAATATGGCGAAATCAATATTGTTTTTTATTTTTTTCATAATTTGATTGGCTATTGCTCTGATGAAAAAATGTTATGAGACCATTTTTATGTAAAATTATTTTTCCTTTAACTTTGGTCATAAGCATTTTTGTTGTAAAGTTACAGACAGTAACAGTTACAGAGAAAATCTCAAAAAACCGTTTTTGAGCGTCTTTGCATTGGTGCTAACTGTAATTTTATTAGCATTTATCATGATAAATACTGCTCTGACGAAAAAAGTTATAGAATCTTTTTTATGTAAAATTGTTTGTTTTTTCACATTGTATAGAAATATTTTTGTTGTAAAATTAATATTTACTGAGAAAATCTCGAAAAACCGGTTTTGAGCATCTTTGCAGTGTTGCCAACTGTTATGCGTACACTTTTTTATATGGGACTTTTGAGGAGTTATTCAGGACACTAAAATAAACCTCAAAACACACTAATACCTTTTGTATGAATTATTCCGTATCAAAATCCTAATTTCAGTGGACTATCATTGGTATTACTTATTCACAAGTTGATAAAAATGTCTAAATCAATTTGGTAATTTTATTGAAGTTTTACTAGGTAAATGTAGGTACAGTATAATTTAAAAAAATATCATTATAATATATTTACCCATAAAGCTTTTGTTATTTGAGCTCCAAATGTCCGCAGTTGTACAAATATAATTATGATTTTGTATTAAACCTGTTATCATTTGCACGTATGATGCATATCTGGATTTTAATTGAGCTTTGATTTGATTTCTGTTTGGTAAAATAGAAGTATCTTTGATTCCAGTAAGTCCCATGATTAATTCTCGAAAGCTACGTTTCTCGCATGTAATCAGAGGTCTCATTTCATTAATTATGTAATTAAATACCAACTCATTCATCAGAGACAAAATATTTTTTTTTACTTTTCTATTAGACAATTTAAACTTAATATTGAACACCAACCCACTTAACTCTGGTTAAGTTATAATGTGAGTAAGGCAAACTCAAATATTGAAAAATATTTATTAGTTGCAATTTTAGGCGGGTTAGTCTAACTCATTGAAAATTAGTTATTCACTTTAATCTGAATCTTTTTAAACTAGATTATACCGTGTTCAATTTGTAATAGAAAAGATTATCAGTAGCCTAATATTTTAAACTAAAATGACCTATGATTCAAATGTAGTTTTGAGGGCCAAAAGCTAAGCAAATGCCTTCTGTAAATATAGAAATTAATTGACTTTTAAAAAATTCATAGAACATATTTCCAAAATAATAAATAGGTAGATAATTTAAATTTTACATTTGATTTATAATTATTTTAATTATTTTAAAGGTTTTCTTCATTTATTGTACTAATACATAATTTTTGTAGTTAAACGTTAATCGCACAACTTGACAAAACTACATAAAAAAATTATCATTGTCTTTATAAATTAATTACTCATATTTGTTACTTAAAGTTCGATATAAAAATAATATTAATATAATTAATAACTAGGTTAAAACGTTAAATTACCTTTTCCTTAGACACTTTTTTTGGTAGAATCATATATTTTAGTTTGAATTAAGGTAGACGAGGTTGATTCAATCTTTTTCTTCCTTACATCTTCAACTTTTGACATTAAAAAGATATGTTGACTCTAAACAAATATAAAAATTAATAATAAATTAAATAGGCAAGTCAAAAACACTTATATAATAAACAAAAAACTACTTTTCAAAACTATTATTTCATAAATCCAATTTGATTAATATTCGAAATATCAAAGTATAGGTAGTACCTATATTCTTTTTGAATTTGTTAATGTAGTAATTTTACAAAAAAATGTATAAAAATTAATTTATTAGAACATATATTATAGAAACTTACCTTAATATGAATTAATAAGTTGCCACTTGAAGTTGTGTATACAGTAATGATTTTGTGACAGTTTTGACAAAAAGCTTTGATTTTGTCACCATTTATCGACACCAGCTTATATACTGTATCGAATAAATACTGAAATTTAAGTTCTGGCAATGGAGCAGAAACATCAAGTGCAGGTGGAGGTAGTTCATCGACATTTTCTAGTCAAATTCTTTTATTAGGCGTTGAAGACGTTATACTTAAAAAACGATCTATACCTATTGGCAGTAAACAAGGCAAACTTGTAAAGAACAAGCAAGTTTACGAAACGAAGTTGTAAATATCAATGAAATTACTCAACACTCATCAGTCTATGCTCTATAGGGAGTCGCAATAGTAGTAGTCAGTCCCGCGGATTATAAATGTATAACCATTAACCACAAACTATTATCTAATTGATTAAATGAGTGTGACCACGACTGACCAAAGTATAGTCTAGTGACTAGTATGTGGTAAAGAAATTAAATTATTGTACAAATATTATTATTTATAACATCCAATTGGGAATTGGTATTGTCAATAAAAAATAGATGTGCGTGTGTATACTTACCAGTCGAGAACTATTTTTAGTATTTTCCACATTATTTAGCGATCGACGGGACGTGTGGTTGGGTATAACTTATAATGATATACGACCGCGACAGCGTCTGTGGTCGGCCTATGGGTGCTATTGTTAATTCGATAATAATGAATCGTCATCAAACATAATTGCGTAGTATCATATTATTATAATATTTGATGGAAAATGACTAAATTAAAAACGTGCATTATAAAACGATATTTATCTAGATAATTATGTAGATTTCCATAACTTAATACTTAGATACCAATTAGATATTAAATAATTTATTCATCTAGATAAGATAAAGGTAGGTACTTAATTTTCATCTAGATAAATGTATCTAGGTACAACACTAGGTAGATACACTGGTGATATCACATCGTCACATTGTAAATTCAAAATGTAATATTTGAACAATAAATAAAAAATTTACATTACCTACATACAATATTGTATATTATAATAATTATATACTTATATTCTATGCAATTGTAAAAATAAATAATAATACATTTTTATTTAATTAAAAAAATTGTTTTTTGAGTAGAATAATATTATAATAATTATATACTTATATGTAGTGATGTAAATTTGTATAATACAAATGTATAATATCGTATTATACTGGTTACACGCTGTATAGAATTATTTTATACAGTGGTATAAAATCTGTATAAAACTTTTTTTTTCGCTAAGTGGTTAACCTGTTTACTTTGTACACTGTCACATATTGATATCAACTTTTACAAGAGTTTTTCCTCATATTTTTTTTTTTTTTTTGTAATAAACGACAACTCTTAATAAATCAAGACTACTAAGTACTAACAATAGAGATGTGCAAAACGGGTCAATTAAACGATCCGGTTCATTCGGATCGGGTCTTCCAAAAGACTGGAAGACTTATTAGACTAACAGATTAGAAAATCTATTTAGAAATCCTGTTAGATTTTCTGTTAGAAAACCTTCGAATTCTGAAGTATTGCCATTGTCAATTTGTTCAAGAAGTACGTTTATATTGTCACTCGTTAATACACCACGATTCATTATGAATTATAACGGTAAATAAATTATTTGATAAGCACATACACAGGTACATTTACTAATACGATCGACACGGCGACACGGCACCAACTGAATTCGATATCAGTAATTCAGGAATAAACATTAAATACAAATAATAAACAATATTGGGAAATTTAATAAAACCCAAAATAAATACAGTCATATAAAATAATAATATAAATATAAAATGTTGATATACCGACCTATAACTTCGATTAAATATTTTTATGTCACTGTTTATGAACTCTTTTTATTAATAAAAGCCCAGTGTCCATTTCAATGGACAATTTTCAACTGTGAATTAAAATAGATTAAAAAAATTATTTAGATCCCAAATGTTAAAAATAAGATTACAATATACACATATACAAAGTAGTAATGTAATGTATATTCGATGCTACAATACCTAATTTGGTTTATCCGGTTTTCCATGACAAGCTTTTTATACTATTTATTATTAATATGTAATCTATATCCACACAACTAAAGATAATGTATGTCAATTAATCGACCTAAATACGAAAATAGTTCTTATCTTGCAGGTACCTGTTCGTAGTTAGCTTTATTTTACTCGTTGTAGCCGATAACTCGTAATAACCATACTATTTTAACATACAATCATATGTGCCGTGACGGGACCTAACGTTTTACTTGTCGTAAGCAGTATCTCGTTCTAAGCGATAAGGATTTAGAGTTAATACTGTATTATACATTGATTTCTTCTAATTGGTAAATGGTCTTTCGTTATATAATATCTTCACTCAAAATTATAACTTTTCTTTTCGAAATTTGTACTTACAAAGTGAATAAAATATGTCTCAAAGCAAAGTTTGGACATTTTTTTCACCAAATACGAAAAATAAGTCAGCAGTTTGCAATTTATGTAACCAAGTAATTAAGCATTCAAAATCAACAACCTGTTTATGGAATCATTATAATTCTCAACATAAACCTGAGAATGGAGTTGATGTCGTTCGCAAAAGGTAAGAGCATATTTTGAATTTAACTAGAGTAACGTAATACAAATTATATTATTAATATTATTACCTATTAATAAAAAATAAACTAAAAATTATTCGTTTTAGAACTTTAAAACAATAAAAACTTATTATATGTAAAATGTCTATTAATAGGCCAAAATTGAAAAAAAATACATTTATGAACATTTCCTTTATTAAAAATTTCTATTTTCAAAAGTTTAAATGTTTTCAATAAATTTGTAGAGTCCGAATTGATAGTGATACTAGTGATGTAGACCAAGACGACGAAATTTCTGAACAGATTTCTTCCAATACCCCCACTCTCGATTCAGACTATTCAAATTGTATTCCTTCAACTTCCAGTTCTAGTTCTTCGAGTTCAACGCCTTACCATTGTACAACGAAAAAGGTTCGTAGGTCTAATGTTGCATCAGCTTGTAATACACGACCTATAGATAAAAATCGTAGTGAACTTATTACGCAGTCAATATGTAATATGATTTGCGAAGATATGCTTCCAATTAATACAGTAGAACATAGTGGATTTAAAAATTTAATGAATGTAATGGAACCTAGTTATAACGTCTCATGTCGAAAAACAATAACTACCCGTATACAAGGACGATATAATGAAAAAGTCGATTATATTAAAAAAAAATTGATGACTATAAATTCAGTTTTATTAAGCACAGATTGTTGGACATCCAGAAACGTACTCATATATCACAGTTACAGGCCACTTTATGAACAATTTTTGGCAATTAGAATCTTTTAACATTTGTACTAAAGAAATTACTCATAGTCATACGGCATCAACTGCATCTGCATCTGATACACCTATCACTCAGTTTACACCTTCGACTACAGATATTAATCGCACATCTTCCAGTTATAATATTTTTGACATTGCACATTACACAAATAAATTGTTAACGCAAATTGAAATAGAAGAAATTTTGAGCAAAATTTGGGTCCCTGATATTAATTACAATTTTCTTATCAAAATATCAGTAGTCGGTAAACAACAAAAAGTTTTGAGGTTGAAATTTCAATATAAATGGCTAATTAACTTTCCCTGGTTGGCCTATTCAGAAGTAAACAATGGTGCGTATTGCAAATATTGTGTTGCTTTTACTAAAAATAAAGCCGGTGTTAATAACCAAAAATTGGGAGCATTTGTATTAAAAAAATATGATGATTGGAAACATGCATTGGAAGACTTTAAAAATCATTCGAATTTAGAATATAACAATCAATAGAATTTTTATTATAAATAATTAATAATATAATATTTATAATATTCTGTACTTACTATGTGCATATTAAATAATATTTAACTGCCATGAGTTACGTAAACCTTTGTATTTGTTTTACTATTTTGCCTATTAATATTTATACGTGTAATGTGTTTGATTGTTAGGAAAATGGGTAGTTGCAAAGAGAAAGTTTTAGTGCTGGTTATTTTTTTAAACCTCCCCCAGAGCAAATTTGAATGTACGCCACTGGTCATACGTCAGAGAATTTATTTGAAACAATTCGATCCGATAAACGCATCAGCACTTACCTTCTTACATCAAAACAAAAAATTAAAAATGTAAAATGTATTTAATCAATGAAGTTAAACGTAGGAGTATTAATTTATTAATTTATAATGAACAATTTTTCTTCTTAAACTTACTTATATTTATTTATTTATTGTTGTTACTAAATTATAAATTATATGTTAAACCAATAAATTATTATTATTATTAATAATTTAATTATGATGTATTTTGCACAATTTAAATTTATTTATTTTTTGCATTTAAATTTGTGTACCATTTATTTTTTTTATTATTTTTTTGTTGTAGCTTATACATTCTTCTTTCTTTCTTTCTTTTTAGGCATTTTAAAGACCATTAAGGTCCATTGCCGCAGCAACAACATCCCTCCACTTCTCCCTGTCCCTTGACACTTCTTCACCATTCTCTATCCCTATTATTCTGAGGTCTTCCTTAATTCTATCTGCCCACCGTTGTCTGGGTCGTCCTCTGGGCCGTTTCGTGCTCGGTCTCCATCTCGTTATGTTCCCCAGTATTCCTTCCGATCTCCAAACATGACCTGCCCATCTTAATCTATAACTCTTCATAATTCCTATAATATTGGCTTCTCCAAATAAACTTCTTAACTCTTCATTTGTCCTGACTTCAAACTCACCTACATCATTCTTTTTTGTTCCATAAATTTGTCGGAGTATTTTCCTTTCAAAAACACCCAATTTGTTTTCATCCGTTTTGGTGGTTGCCCATGTCTCGCATGCGTATAGTACTATGGGTCTAATTAAAACTTTGTACAATGTTATCTTTGATCTTCTTGAGAGTAATTTTGATTTGAAAAGTGTTGATAGTCCAAAGTAGCATCTGTTTGCTGCTATCAACCTCTCTTTTATTTCTTCGTGACTATTCGCGTTTTCATTCACCCACGCTCCAAGGTATTTGAAGTGTTCTACTCTTTCAAATGAATAACCTTCTATTTCTAAATTTAAAAGATTTATTTGTTAGTCTAACAAGTAACAACCATAATAAATTTAGTTAGTAGTTACTATTAATTATTATAGATTTTAGTGTGAAGTAAACTTTAAAATGGGACGGCCTAATAAACATAAATCGATATTGTCTCAGATTGCAATAGCTATATTGAGTTGTCCGCCTACATCTGCGTCTACTGAGCGTAGTTTTTCCACATATGGACTTCTTCATACTATAGAACGTAATCGTTTAACAAATGAACGATCAGCAAAGCTTGTTTACATTAAACATAATTTGAAACTAAATGAAATCCCAAATCAGTCAAAAATTGGGGTTTCTGAAGACTATATTGTTGAATTTCAGATGTCAGAAGCAGATGAAGAAGAACCCGAAGAGGTAAATTTATGTCTATCTGATTCTGAAGACAATTATTAAAAATCTATTATTTTATATTTACAAACAAAAGAAGTTTTATTTTATTTTATATTATTTTTTGTTTTATATTAAACAGGAAACTAAAAGACTACAGTGTTGAAATTGTTACTATTAACTATTAAGTATTACTATTTAATATTGTTACTTTTTTTACATTAAACATTTATGTTTATTAAAATTGTTAATGATTACTTTACTTATTGACTTTGTTATTACTTTTGAATTTAATTTATATTATTTTTCTTATTTGTATTAATAAGATTCAATTTTCAAATGGGAAATGGACAATGGTTGAGTAATCAAGTTTAAATTGTATAATTGTATATTATATCTTTTAGGATTTTATACCGTATAAAATGTGTATAATACGGTAAAATACAAAAAATTATTATACCCTACTTAAATACAACAGTATTATACAAAGTTTAATACACGTATAATACTAGGTAGAATACAAAAATAAAATAAAATACCGTATTTTAACAACACTACTTATATGTATGCAATTGTAAAAATAAATAATAATACATTTTTATTTAATTAAAAAAATTAAATCAAACTCAATGTATAAAAATATAAATAATGTTTTGTGAGTAGAATAATTTGTATAAAACATGATGTTTGTAAATTATTTTATTTAAATCATAAAACAATTTTGATATCAAGTAAATTCTTCAAGTAAATTACTAAAATGCTAAGACGAAATTATAATTATTTATTACCTGTGTACATGGTACTGCCATGGTGAATTGAACTAAAAGAAATAATTCAGGTTTATCATGAGGATTTTCAGCTGTAAAGAGGTGCATAGGCGCAACTAGGGTGGGGCTTGGGGGGCTTCATCACCCCCAGCCTTTAATTTAGCACCCCCAGATCAAAAACAATAAAAATGGAAAAATCTTATGAAAAAAGTTTTCTTTGTTTTACTTAAGGTTTTTTTTTATTTGACTTTTTACAAATTGTTTATGATGATTATAGTTATTAGATTATACATGTTTATATAAAATATTAGGTATGTATCAACGACAATTATAATAAACATTGCAGTCATAGATTAGATAATAAATTCTTCTTCAGTCAGCAGTAGTTTTGATATCATTTAAAGCTGGGTTCACACGGAGTCGTAAACTGGTCGAGAATACTACTCGCTCTGCGCATGTCTCACGACTGTTTGATTTTCACGACCGATAATATACGACCTCCAGTTCACACGAATTAATGTCTGAAAGGCGTCGTGACCAGAAATGAACTGCCGCTGACAGTTGTTCATGGTACGTTTTTTATATATTTGTTTTTGTGTTTAATGATGGCTAAACTGGAAAGTGCAAATATTGTGTGTGCACTTTTAATAAATGAATTACAACGTTTGAAAAATGTTAAAAAAAAAGAAACGTGTGTGGGTCCGTGATTTTATAAAAAAAAACGAAATGCTCTTGGTGCCACTAATAATATATGTCAAGAATTATCTTTGGAAGATCAAAGTAGTTACAGAAACTTTTTTAGAATGGATCCAAGTCTACATTTATATTTGCTCAGTAAAATAAAAGTAGCGGTTCAAAAAGAAGACACCAATATGAGATTGGCGATTCCGGCAGAATGTAAATTTAATGTTAACTTAAGATTCTTAGCAACCGGCGATTCATTCTCCAGTTTACAATATTTATTTAGAATACCAAAAAAGACTATAAGTACATTTATTCCTGAGGTATTAGATGCGATTTACAGTGCTTTATTGGACTTTTTAAAGGTAAGTTCATTGAAAACATTAATAGTGTAAAAATCGAAACAATTATACGTTAGCAAACTATCCTTTTTTACATTTTTTAGGCTCGATTTTGTTTTTTTTTATAAGCATATAATATAAGTTCATATTTTTACAATTATTAAAATTTATAAAAATCTCGACAATTTACAAATTTATAAAATGTATAATATTTAAAACAAGGTTCTTACTGTAACCAAAAAATCTAAGTAATACACTCTTATAAAGCATGCAAAAACACACATATTCAAAAAAATTTAAAAAATCGAGAAATTGCTAAACTAGAATTATGCCTAAAAATAATAATTTAATGATGGGTCATTTTAGGTGCCAAACTCCGTAGAAGAGTGGAAAAAAATCGAAAAAGGTTTTAATGAAAAGTGAAATTTCCCAGGATGCATTGGAGCAATTGACGGCAAGCATGTGGCTATTCGTGCTACAATGTTTAGTGGAAGTGAGTATTATAATTATAAAAATTCATTCAGTATAATACTTATGGCTGTAGTTCATGCCAATTATTGCTTCCGTTACATTGATATTGGAGCTCAAGGACGTCATTCTGATGGTGGTGTTTTTGACCATTGTTCTTTAAGACATATGATTGAACAAAATAAACTGCATATTCCAGAAAACTTTGTGTTTGGGGGAGACGAAGCGTTCCCATTAAAATCCTATTTGATGAGACCCTACCCTAGAAGAGAATTGAATACTGATTGTAAAATATTCAACCACAGGCTGTCAAGGGCGAGGAGAACCGTAGAAAACGCTTTTGGTATTTTGGTTTCGCGATTTCGTGTATTTGAGAAACCTATAGCTACTTCTGTACCAACTGCAGTAAAAATTGTAAAAACCGCATGCGCCTCACACAATTGGTTGCAGACAAGAAGTGATTCGAATTATTTTTCTCTTGGAATTATTGATAAAGAAGACTTGGAACACTATACTTTTACACCTGGTTCATGGAGAGAAGAATCTAAAAGTAATGGACTTATCCAGTTGCAGCCATTATCTCCAAGGTTTCCTGATCGCAGTGCAAGAGAACTTAGAAATTATTACTGTAATTATTTCAATGGAGTTTTAGCAGTGCCATGGCAAAATGAAATAATTCGTTAGTATTATGAATACCACAAGTAAAACGATTTCAATAAATTAACTATGTAAAGAAAAATAAAATAAATTGTTTATCTATTATTTAATTTTTTACTTCATTTTTATTGTACTTTAATTCGTTATATAAATAAAAATAAAAAACAAACTTAAAATCATAACAAACTCGTTACATAAATAAAAATAAAAAAACAAACTTAAGTGAAAAATACTTAAATACTTTTTAGAGAGAATCTGAAGAATATACCGATGAGAAATAAGAATCCCAACTATCCTCTTCGTGACAAGGTTGAGCTATTTTTGAATTTTCCCTCGTGCTTGGTTGCAGTTCAGTTAAATGTGATGTTGAGTAATTTCCAGTTGATATTGATGGTTGTTGGTATGCAGAAGTACTAGCTTTACATTGGTTTCCCGATAACTCATGATTCCTTTGCATTTCATATTCGATTCTTTCATTAGACACAAAGTTCTGTATTTGCATTTGGAGTTTAAGTGTTCTCAAAGTCGCCATGTTGTTTAGCTGTTTGGCCAAACTTTGGCACCAAATGTCAAATTCTGTTTCTAAAGATAAATTTTTTTGAATGCTATCTAACTTATTAATGGCTTCTCCGATATATGGTGGTGGAGCACATCGATTCTGTAGTCGCCTCTTTTTTGATTGAGCTGTCTGATTTGATTTTGATGGAAGTTTGAATGTTTCACCAGACTCCTTTTCGTTCGACAAATTCAATTCGACTTGGTTATTTAAAACACAACTGTCTTTGTCTTCTAGTTGTTTTGATGTATTGTCACATTGAACTGGTGTACTACAAAGACTAGATTCACTGAACTACATCTAACTTCACTGGTTGATAGAAGAGCAACTGCTAATCTATCATTTTTACGAAAGCTCTTGGACGGATCAATAGAAGCCCCCACTATTCTCTCCAGTATCAATTTTAAAGTACAACAGCGTTCCCTCCGTTCTTTTACAACCTTCTCCATCCCAAATAGTTCTACAAACTACGGCCGTAATAATCCTATCTATCGTATGATGCACATAGCAAATGAACAACTATCATTCCCTACCTAAACTTATCTTATTGTTATAATTGTTATTTACTGTTCTATTAAAAATGTAATTATTAATATTTAAATATTTAAATGTAATTTTATACTTAGTGTACACTTGTAATGTAATTGGGCTCTGCCCGTAATGTTTGAAATAAATAAATAAAATAAATAAATTAGATACGGTTTCATTCATTTCTGGATTTTGTTTCAGAAATGAATGGACAATCGTAAACCACAGTACTTTAGGCTGATAAATATCAATTGAAGATGCTCCTGATTTTTTAGTTATTTATTTTTTTTAATTCTTGATAATAAACTGATCTAATATTTTTAATTTTCTGGGCTACTTCGCGAATACCAAAACCATCGATACTCATTTCATCGCATATTTTTTTTAAGGCTCCATCTCTTGCATCTCTATCTTTGTACACTTCAGAATTTACTTTCCACAAACATTCCGCATCACGATACAATTCAACAAATTGAATTGTTTGTTTTGTATTCATTTTGTACACTGACATTTTGTACGCTGACGTAGGAAATGTTATTAATTATTATTATATAAAAATAAAATGTATTAATTTATTTAATCAATAAATTATAGTAAATTTTATTATTTCGCTCGTACAAAAATCGAAACAAATACGTGTATATACGCTAGAAACTTAACATTTGGTGGGTTTTTCACAACTAACTCTCCTACTAGTAGTATTCTCGCCCAGCTTACAACTCCGTCTGAACCCGCCTTAAAAATGTGAAGGTTTTAGATAACAGATAAGTGATAAGACGATAAACCCTGTAGTTTATTTATAGAATATTGTCACTTAGTAGTTTATTTGATCAGCCGCCCGCCTGCCACAAATGTTATTGTTCAATTGATACACGCAGTCGGCATATTTTGTTTATCAAAAATCATATTATAGTGTATACTGTATACTCATTTGTATGATTTTAATAAAATATTACGTTCCCTTTTGTTAATGTGAACTGTGAAGTGTAAACTGTGTTAACTATTATAAATTTCAAAATGTTTAATATTTTTAATTTTAATAAAAAAAATAATGACTACAGAAGATGAAAATATTGATGACCCTGGAATCCCTTGTAAAAGTTCATCTTGTAAATTAAATATTACAGCAGCACTTCCAGGTACCTAAATAGTAAAATAATTGAGGCACTCTGCACAATAATGGCCTATTTCACAAAAACATTAGAGAGTACATTTTTATTTTTCTTGAAAACAATTTATACCAAAGTAAGCCAATTTAGCATTTATGATTTATATTTACTAAACATGAAGTATTGTTACTTAAATTTTTTAGTTTTAATGGAAAAGGCCACTTGTTAGAATTTTATAATTAACAAGTTTTTTGTGATGCTGTATTTTATTTTGTTTGCCGCATTTTTGGTACCAACAGTGTTGAAGAATTATGGACAAAAACTGGATGTAACAATTGGCAAATAGTAAGTTATTATTTCATCTAACAAATGAGGGTACCTAAAAAATATATTTATTTTTAAAATTTTTTTTTTGATAGATTAAAGTGCTTGATTAAAAAATAAAATAATAATTATAGGTACCCTCATTTTAGTGTGTTAAGGAATAAACTTCTTTATTGTTAATTAAATTAATTGTGATGTCTTTATCGGTTCATTGTAAAAATAGGTAAACATCAAAACGCTGATGTTCATAAAACAAATATGACAAAAATGGTTGCATATAAAACAAACAAACAATCTGGTTCCATAATGGCCAAATTATCAGATGCTCACCGCAATCAAATTGCTGAAAATAGGGTTTATAAATTGTTTTATATCTTGGTAAACAAGGAGTAGCATTTCGGGGACACTCTGACAAATGTGATTCTTTAAACCAAGGTAATAATAATATTAATACAAAAGTAAAAAATTTGACTTCATTAAGTAATAATTAATAAATTCTATAGTATAGCCATCGTAAGAACGCTACTCGTTCGCGCATCCAAATGACCGAGCTCCGCAGTTTCGTACCCAAGTTTCTCCCACTCTACCATCTAGTCGCCGCCGTAAATAGGCAGTAGTGGCAGCGACAGTAGCGATGGCGGCGACAGTGGCTGCGGCCAGCGTCGGGAAGGTTTAGTGGTGGGAAAGCGCGAGATCGGATGAATTTTGGTCGCCGCCCAGTAGCGTTCTTACGATGGCTATACTATAGGTAATTTCAAAGAAGTATGCTATGTATTTTCAAAATGTGTTCCAAATTTTAAAAGTTGTAATGATGTAAAAATCAATCACACCAGTTGGAAAGTCCAAGAAGAAATAATACAAATAAGTGCTGATTATGCCAGGGAAAAAATGATTAAAAAAATTACAAATACTGGGTTTTTTGTTATTATGGTTGATGAAGCCAGGTAATTAAATAATTTTTTACATTTGTCTATAATCTGTTTTTTATAAAATATTTAAATTAAATTAACATTTCCATAGATCCCATAAACAAGAACAGTTAAGTATCTGCATTAGATATGTTGTTGATCTTGAAATAGTCGAAAGATTTTTGGAGTTTGTGGATGTCTTCAGTGGATAGGACGCTAACGATATTGTTGGAGCCATTTTCAGATGTTTTGAAAAATTAAGAATTAATATGAACACTTTATACATAGTGGCTCAGTCGAATGACGGTGCGAGCGTTATGTCGGGTTGTCTTGGAGGGGTACAAGCAAAGATCAAAGAACATTACCCTTGTGCAATTTATACACACTGTATGGCACATAGATTGAATTTAGTTGTTGTGGACACGTGTAAAGGAATCAAAATATGTACTTTAGAATATTCAATCTTATTTATATGAATTTATAGAATTTTTTTATAATTTTTTTTTGTGTAGATTGTTAGAAGTGTTTTTAACACACTTGAGTCTGTTTATGTACACTTTTCTCGTCCGTCCAACAATTCTGAGTTGGTTAAAATTCAATTACAATTAGGGTTAAAGAAAGGTGACATTCTCAGGGTGTGTGTTGCAGATTTAAAAACTGTGAATCAATGTTAAAAAATTACTCTGCAATTTTAAATTTTTTGAACAATGAAGTGGACATTCAAGCAGATAAAGATGTTGTTGAAGCTGTGGGTAATGCAAATTGATTGATATTTTAATACTTATAAGAATTTATTGACAATTATGACTTTATTATTTGTTTTAGGTATTCAAAATCAGATTCAAAAGTGTCAATTCTTAATTGTTATTATTATATTAAAAGAAGCTTTGGGCATTATAAATATTTTAAGTATTTCTTTACAATCTAAAACAGCAACTTTAGGTAAAGCAAGAAAAGTTGTTAATGGGGACATGGGATCATCCAATCTTTTATATGCTTAAGGGCTGATGATGAGTTTTCGAAATTATGGTCAACTGTTGTAGAGCTAGCTGAGGAACATAATATATCATTAGAAATTCCTCACATTGGTCTGTTTTAAATAATATCATTTGTATTAAAATCATATTTATTCTCAATTATTTATTGAAAAAATATTAAATTATTGTTAATGGTTATAAAGAGCTCAACCGGTTTATTTAAATGAATTCCATTTGGAAACAACAACAGGTGCTGAACAAGACGATCAAATTAATGCTTCAGATTCAGTAGAATTATATTATAGATGAACAGTTTACTTTCCTATTATTGACACTATTATCAATAACCTAAAATACAGGTTTTCCGAAGAAAGTCTTGAAATGGCCAGTTCAATTGATTGTTTTATGGAAATGGACTATGCAAAGAGTCAATACTTCATAAATCATTATAAAGTATGTTATATCATAGTGCAAGTGGTTTTTGTATGTAATTCATTATAATAATATATTATTTAATTTTAATTTAAGTTTGTTATGAATATCAATTTGAATTTGTTGAAATCGGAAATGCTTGTTTTAAAGAACTGCTTACCTTCCAATTATAATCATGATATTATTAAATAATACTTTACAATATTCAATCTTATTTATATGAATTTATGGAATTATTTTAAAAATTTTTTTTTGTGTAGATTGCTAGAAGTGTTTTTAACACACTTGAGTTTGTCTATGTACACTTTTCTCGTCCGTCCAACAATTCTGAGTTGGTTAAAATTAAATTACAATTAGGTTTAAATAAAGGTAACATTCTCAGGGTGTGTGATACACGCTGGGTTTGCAGAAAATGTTACTATGCTTTGCGTAATACTTCTTAATACTACTTTATTGGTGTAAGTGTATGATAACTTTTTTCGCTATTCTTTTCATCAAATGAACAGTCTTTAAACCAATCTTCTACTTTTTGAACCTTTAAAAATGAAAATAGTACTATGTATTTGTATTTAATTCCAATAATAACTCTAAGAATAACAATGTTTATTAAAATAAAAAATAAAAGATAACATTGTGAAGAATTTGTATAGCATTACAAAATATTAAGGGTTTATGTTTGTAACATTTTAGAAAATGCTGGTCTACTTAATAAAAACAAATTTATTACTAACCATATTTGTATGCCATATAACAATATATAAACAAAAAAATTAATCAATATACAATTTGTATTATATTAGGTACACTTAATAGGTAGTTAAATCTTTAAATTAATTTATTCAAAATATAATAAATAATTAAATAATATATAAATAATTTATTTAAAAATTTAAACACATCGTCAATAACAATTTAAAAATATATATATACTGTCATAAAATATAGTACCTATTTAATACTTACACCTGGAAGTTTTAGCACCATAAAGTCAAATTGTACATCCAATGAAGAACTTGTGTTCAAGTAGTGTTCAAATTGTGTACAATCCTATGTATAATAAATAATTAAAATTATAATAATTTATTATTATAAATAAGAAAATACTGTCCTACTATATCAGTATATTGTATCATTTATATCCAAAAATTCATTGTATTATTAAGCTAAAAAGAAATATGTTGTATAACGTTGTCAACACTGTTAATTTTACTATTCTTTGTAGTTGTAAGGTTACATCGGTGAAGACACTACCGTCTAAGGAGGGTGATAGCTCGCGTTTGGCTTTTTAAAATCTTGTTAAAATTTGCCTTCACGGCTTAGAGGATATGCAACACAATGTGGCGCTATCAGTACTGCTCATTAATTATTTGAGTATTATTAATCAAAATACAATTGTGTTGGCATTGTCATTTATTTTACATTAGTATAAAGAAACTTACATCGGTTATTTTACCTTCAAAAAGTATATAGGCCCGTCGGCCTTAATACACAAAACACAACTCACCCACGTGAGCCATGCCGGGGGCGTAGGTAAGAACAATATAATTACAACCCGCACACGTGCGACCACCTCGCTGTACCACAACGAAGAACTCACAGAATACAATGATTGCCGCTGCGTACAGAACAAAACACAAAACCACACTATTCACAGTGACGCTGATGAGGAATGACACCCTAGAAACAGGAAAACAATTAAATGAAGGGCAACAAAGGTTGCGCGAACGATACTCACCAGAGTCAAATCACAACACAATACACTTACAATGTGGTTTTAGCAGCAGCCGAACGTAGCTGAAAACATGAAAAATAAAAAACACAAGAAGACGATTGGAGACAACCGTCCTGGGCAACAGCCGCAAACGAAGAGACGATAATTTAAAAGATGGCCGATTTTAACGGTAACACACTAACACATTACAACACGGAATAACAGTGTCACCTGTACAACAAAACAAAAGTATAAAAAAACCAGAACTTTAGGTTACACACAACTTTGAAAATGAGTTTTAATAGAACGGCTTTTTGCAATCACTTGAAAACAACAAAACATTGATAACGTGGTGGTCTTACACACGCACTGGGCGGTCAGCACACAACAGCTGACGCCACTGTCGACCGCGCGGCAGTGACGCGTGATAAGAACCACCACGGAGCACAGGAACATACTATAAAACAAATACAATTAATTTGAATTGCCATATTGGCGCGAACATTCTCCCCCTTTGAAAGGACTCAGACCTTTCAAAAGTAGATATAACACACGGAATATAAAGAACAGAATTTAAGTAAACATAATTTTGATCAGTTGCATAAAATAACTGCTGGAGTGAATAATAATAACAAATAGAATAAGCAGTAGAATGCTTGTACAACAATACATTTTAAAAGGTTAGGGTAATTTGAATTGCCATATTGGCGCGAACAGAGGGACTTACTTAATATAACATTTAACATAGTATTATAAAATATATAAGACACATAAAAACATTGTACATTTATTTGTTGCAATGACATTTTCATATACAATTTGAATTTTCTGAAAACAATATAAATTATAATATTTGAAATAATGTTCATACCTACCTACCATAATACTAACCTGACTTTTGTTATTTGTTGCTAATTTAACAAGGCGCTTTGATCTTGATCTTTGTAATTGATCCATTTTATATTTTTATGTACAAAACGTTTCATACAGTACAACACAACATTATAATTAATTATAACCTTAAAGTATTAAACACAAACGAAATTGGATTTCGTACTGCTAGACGATAGCCGATTTTAGAGTCGTTAACAAAAATCAAATTTAATAACAATTATTATTATTATTATTATTATCCATAGATATTTCTATTAAGCAATAATAATTCCACGATAGAAGTCGGTTACTGATACTAATGTAATCATAGCATTCTATAAATAGTTATGATTATAAAATTGATAACACTACTAGTTATTCTTATAATAGTATGTACAATAATATTATTATAATTTATATTAATAAAATAATATTAATTTTTCCCATATGAAATTGTTACTTTTGAGATATGACTTTCTTCTGGCTAGAAAAATATTATGTAACAATATTAGTCAGGCCAGAATAAAGACACATCTAAAAAGTGACGTTATTCCAGCCGGAAACTATATTTTATTTTAAGCAGAAATAAAGACATTTTATCTCATACTGCTTTTAATATTATATAAATCAAAAATTTTGAAATACCAAAATACAAAGGATGAAATTCTGCAAATTTTGATAGTAATAACTCGAAAAACGTTTTTTTTTTTTTTGAGTTGTGTCACTATTCTTTCAGGGGTGCGATATATTGATCTACGTATTCAAATTATTTCTGGTTCTGGTACATGATTCATATAGTATATTCATATATAACAATGTGTACCTAATTTCCCTTTTCTTTTCGACATATCGTACAAAAATGTTACTAAGCTTTGCGTAATACTTCTGATTTTGTCTTCCGAAAATGGTTCGTCTAGCTAGTTATTTGCTACCTCTATATGCCCGGGTAAACATTTTGGTAAATTACCGCCTGAACTTGTGTCATGATCCCCGAGTAATATTGCGAGTTCCAGTTTGATACAAAATAATTTGCTTTTATTCCTATAGTTAAAATATTCGGTTACTTAATCTTGATTGCTAACACTACCTAATTATTATTAACTATAAATGTATATTCTATTTTTACTTAACTCTACCTCACGATTTAGTATTGTGTCTAACCCCGTAAATTCTATCTTTTGGACCATGGCTAAATAACATGGTATGACAGCAACTGCTTACTGCGCATGACGACTACGTCATCCGGTCTCGGTAAAAAGGCACGAAATCAAATATTGTATTATGATAACAGATAAATTAAATTTATCACTTATGATGAAAAATAGTTAAAATAATAGTGTTTGTAAAATTAATTAATTAATAATTAATAGTTAATTTGTATACTAAATAGATAAATTATTACAGTTAATGCAGTAATAATATTAAATAAAATATCCTTTGTCATTCTAGTGTCATAAATATAAAATATTGGTTATCTCCATGATGCTACTAAACCTTTTCAACAAAATGTCACATATATTTTAAAATATAAAATTATATAATTAAATGAAATTACCTGTTGCTACTACTGTTTGTACACACTTGTGAGGACCAATGAATTGTTCTTTTTTTTTATCATAGCATATTTTCTGTGATAAATATGTTTCATCAAATTCTAATACAGTCATTTTTTCTAAATCTGTCATTGAGGAACCTATAAATATAAATATTGTCATGATATTTTATTTTAGAATTAAAATGCTTGTTTTATGTACTCTTATGTTTCATTATGGATAAGACTGAAGATAAAATCCCCTGGTCCATAGAGAATTTTGTCGCCCATCCTCTTAGTGTTGAAAGTCCTTAATTAATAAACAGTCATTTTTACTTATAATCATTTCGAAAAAATCAATAATTAGCTTAATACTTAAAAAATATCTGGCAGTGGATATTATTTTTCTTCTCCGAGATATCTATAGGCCTTATGCGACAAGCTTCTAAGTGTTATAGCATTGGCTATATCATTTTCTGTCCACTTATATACTTTTTTGTTGGGATATAAAAGTAATTTTATTTGTGTTTCAGTAAACATTCCTGACAACACTTTATTAAAATCAATTTCATTTTTTTCTTTTAATTTATTATTTGGTATGGAATTAATAATCTCTTTCTGTAATTTAATGGTATTTTGTAATTCTAAATTTAGTTCTATTTCCTTTTTTAATTTTAAATGTAGATCCAATGAATGTTGTTTAAGGCTGTTTAAATAAAACATAAAAATAAATAGAATTGAATTATACATTAATAATTATTTGTATTTTTTTCATACTTCTCACTACTAACATCAGCTCTTTCCACTGGAAGTCTAGAATACACCATACCTATTTCACACTGAATACCAACATCTTGTGTTTCACTTAATAATTGTACTCCAAAATCAGGTAGACCATTCAAACAATTATTATTATTATTATTTGAAGTAAATGGATCAATTTTTTCTTTAGGTTCTTTAGAACTTTGAAAACTAGATTGGAATAAACTATCATGTGTAGAGTGTGGTGTATGTATATTTACAGGCTTACATTTAATTGTTGGTTTTTGAATTCTGGGCTGGAATAAAATAATTTAGAAAAGATTTAATTGATTTTTTTTTATACTGAAAAATAATAACCAACCAAATTTTTTGATGGTACATAATTGGGCTTAAGTTTTCGTTGATATTTAGGAGAATATTCTAACATTCTTTGAATCAATAGTTTTTCATAATCAGATGAATCAAAATGTAATGAGCATACTCGTGCTGTAACGTTTACATTTATACATTTTAGGTGTAGGATATAGCCACCCGGTATAGGCTTGTGTATTAGATTTGAAGCCAAAATGGCTAGAGCCTTTTTTAGTACTGCGCATGCGTAAATGACTGATAATAAATTAATATTACGTTATCAATTATCAGACAACGGTACTAGGCTAAAACTTTATGTAAAATACTATAAATTATTATTTATTATGTATAATTGCAAATTGTAATGCGTAGACGGTAGACCAGAGTTAACCATTAGATTATAGATTTTCCTTTCTAATTGGAATTTTCGTTCTTGTATTATAATTTAGTATTTATTATATACAACTATTTTTGCTACATTCAACAACATGCCGAATGCAAGTTTACTTTGCTTGAAGTCATCAAAATCACACCCAGGTCTTTCATTGCATAAGTAAGTGAAATTCGTTATTATTTCTCAAAATTGATCTTGTTATTTTATGTAATACATGTACATCTCTAAGAATTAACAATAATAAAAATGTATTTTTATGCAGTTTATAATGTATATTTATGCAGTTTTAATTGACAGCTGTCCATTCAAAATTATTAAAATAAACTTATAAAACCAGTTGTGTTGGTAAATACCTATGTACTACATTAGTAAATTATCTATTTTTAATGAACAGATTTCCAACAAATCCCTTGCTACGTAGTAGTTGGCTCAAAGCCTGTGGATTTCTAGATAGTGACTATGGACCTAAGAGAAAGTTATGCTCACGGCATTTTGAGGAAGATTGTTTTAACGGTAATATTAAACGGTATTTAAAGCCGAAATCAATACCCACGCTACATTTAAAATGTAGAAAAAAACTAACATACAACATACCAAACATTTTGTAAGTAGGAATTTATTAATTTTAAATTAAGATGATAAATATTTTGATATTTTATCAATTAGTTATTGATTAATATTTAAATTTATTAATTGCAGACATACAAGTATAACAACAGATGATTGTGGTGGTATCGCTATTAGAACCTTTAGTATTATTGTCTGATGATTCAAATCATAATACTATTGATGAACCAAAAGAACTTTCAAATGTATTGTCAAGTCCAAATATAATGCCGGAAAGTTCTATAATTGGTATGTTATATTTATGAATGATTTATTATAAATTAAGTAAATATATATTATGTATGTCTTTCTTTTATCAAAATTACTTTAGAAACACCAAACAACAATAATTTGAGAAAATGTTTTGTCGGTGATATTAAATAACCAGATCTTGATACTCCACGACGTGCAAAGCATTATTTTACACAATCCAAAATCAAAATAACAAATCAGTGAAAAAAATCAAAGCATTACAACAAAAAGTTAGGAGACTTAAAACCAAATTATCAAACTTTGAAGCTCTATTTAAACATTTAAATATACACCACCAAGAAAAAAAAATTAAAATTAAAAATAGATCAACAAAAAATTATCAAGTATGTAAATTAAAACAACGTGTAACACGACTTAAGACTCGTAAAACATTACGAAGGCTTATGTTTTCGCTTAAATTTCCATCAAAAAATGCTAGAGCAATTGTAACAATGCAACTTCAAAAGAAGCGAATACCTTGGACACTAGAAGAAAAAAACCTAGGTTTCTAATCCCTGACAGCCTACAATTTTTTAAAGCTACAAAATATTAACTTAACACCTCCATCGACCATTCGTCGTTGGATCGGACAGTCGAAATTTTTACCCGGCTTAAGTGGCACATTTTTCAGTCACATTAAAAAAAATTCAAACATAAAACAAATAAAAAAGTTGCAAATAAGTTTTGACGAAATATATTATATAAAAAAATGTTTAGAGTATTAAAAATGTATGACTTCATTGAAGGATTTGAAGATTTTGGACACATGGTCTGACAAATAAAAGTGCGAATTGCGTAATAGTGTTTATCGTTTGAGGATTGTATTCGCCTTGGAAATTTCCAGTCGCGTACTTTTTGGAGTTTAAGATTAAATAATTGATGTCTTAAGTGAATTATTTAAAAACGGATTGTGTCCTAAAGTATTGGTTAGTGACCAAAGCACAAACAATTAGAGTGCATTAAAAACGATTCGTAGATGAAAACAACCCTTATTTCTTTGTAGAAAATAATAAAATATTTCCAATTTTTTATGTTCCTTTCTTGATAAAAAGTTTAAGAAACAATTTAATAGGTTGTAGTTTTGAACATATATTATACAATATTACAGTTATATTTAAGCAACATATGAAATAGATAAAAAAAAATATAAAAGTTATATACCTCTCTTAAAAATCACCGAAGCTCATATTATCAATCCAAGTTCGTTCCAGAAAATGAGAGTAACATTTTCCGTGCAGTTATTTAGCCACACTATGGCGTCTACTATTCGTACTTGCATTGAAACCAACGAATTAAAAAGTAAGACAGGAAAAAACCCAGCTGATAAAATTACCACCATTATGATCAGTTTCAATAACATTTAAATCAAGATGACCCGAATCATTTCACCCTTGAAATGCAAAATCTTGTCAGCCACCTAAAATATTTGTTTTAATAGTTGGAACATGTTTTTTTTATTTTCAGAAAATTTTAGAGCTCTTGCGGAATCGAGTTTTTGTCGAATATTTGGATGAAGTTTGGTATACATATTGTAGTCAATAATTTCATACAAGAAGAATTTAAAGAGAAAAATGGTCGGTAAAAAAATATTATTCTTTATTGAAGAATTTATGATGTTTGTGGGACCTTTTGAGCGTCTTAAAAGTCGTTCTTGTAACAGAATATTAAAATTGAGTAACGATTTGACCATTTCATGTTGATGATGACATTTTACTTAATGAATGGAATTTGTTGCAACTAGATAAATATGATAGAGAAAGTGATCTTAATGGAATTGATATTTATTTGAAACAGTTATTTGAAAAACAAAATATTATAAACAGTTGGAAGTATCCTAATGTAACTAAGATAGTGAAGATGACTTCATGTCTTCCTTGGTACACGGTAGTGCAGATGTTGAAAGAAACTTCTTAATATCTGGGAATATTTTAACAGATGAACGAGCTTGTATGAATTAGAGAACTCTTGATGCATTGTTGGGTACCAACGATAGTTTAAACCATTATCAATATAAACCACAATTGGTATTGATGACAAAAAAACTTATAACCATGGTAAAAGGAGCACATAAACATTACCAAAATTATTTGGAATTTTACAAACTCATCAACTTGTTGTCTCGTTGACCGTTGTACGAAAACTGATATTAGAGGACGAGCTTAATATTATTTGTTTGTGTCATCAAAAATCGAAATAAGTATTGAATTTGAATATTTTATTTAAAGGTTATTATAATTATGTGTTACAATTATTAATAAATATTAAACATATTATAGGTACCTATTATTTAAGTTTTAACTATCGAGTGACGAATACAATTTAATTTACACATTTTTACTAATTTGCTCACAAATTCATTCCATATTAAATTGGCATTAGGTACTCTCATTATTTATTTGATTTGTACTATTTACAATTTATACAGTTACTATTATCTAAATTTAAACTGTATGTAAAATACTTTTCATATGTAATAAACCTGTTTCATACTCATATCTACCCTCTTAAAGGACAATACAACTAATAAAAACCTATTTTTTTTTTTTATTTTTTTAATGTATAGGGCTTTGAAAAATAATAATTTTGGTGGTCTTAAAATTGTTGTCGGACAATTGGTTCCGTGTTTAAATATAAGTCACGTTTTACGCGTGACGTCATAAAATCACACCGGCCGACGGGTCGTATCTAATATACACAAGCGGAATTTATTTCGCGCGATTAAAATATTTATAGAGAAAAATTAATTAAAGGTACAAGTTATTAAAGTACATTTATAAAAAGGGCTGCATGTTACTTGCGTCCCAAAAAAAGATATATTTTTCAGGTAGTAAATTTGACCGGTAAATTGCGTCCCGTTTTGGGGACGCAAGTCAGCCATATAATTATTATCGATATTATCTTCTAAAATCATTAAAATCGATAGTATCGTGTTACTAAAATCGATAGTTCATAAACTGTACCGTATACATGTGTGTGAGTGCGTGCGTTACTTACTTACAATGTAGATACAATTTATCTATGATAGGTACAATATGATAGTATATTCTATTAATAACTTGAGTGGGTATTATTTTATGTGAAAAGATATGGGAACATGTATACAACTTGTTGGTTGTTAGATTCGATAAGATAAAGCAATTACGTCGATAATTGTTTTTTTACTCGCATTATATTTTCACATTTTACTTTTATTCAGTACGATTCGTCTTATAAGACCAATAGTTGTGAAATAACCACTCATCAAATTAAAAAAAATTAAATAAGTTAATTTAATAAAATACCTACGATTTTTTTTTAAGCTATGGAAAAAATGTGTAGTAAAAATTGGTCGCAAATAATGGTTTTAAAATAATTGATGGTTATAAGTTCGGATATCATAAAATGTTATGTAATAACAATTTTCGATGGAAGAGCACGAATAAAAGCTGTAAAAGCTATATGAAAATAGATGTTCATCAAAATGTAATAAGTAATCCTACTTCACATACTCCATATCACACTCCAGACGACATCACTCTATATTATTATTATTATTATTATTACTACCATGACAAAATATAAAACATATGAATTTGTAATTTTATAAGTTTGAATTTTTTAAAAAAAAGCGTGGAAATTGAATATATACTCCTGAAGTTGATAAATATTCGTTCAACTTTTATAGCTAAGGATTGAAATATACTTAGTAATATCATAGGCTGACTGACCGTTTTCGCACAGAATAGTTTTTTTTATACTTTTTCTTTTTACATTTTTATATCGATTATATCGATATTTTTGTGACGCAATTAAGTCATAAAAAAAGGTGTACTGGGACGCAAATCGGCTATGACCTTTTTGATTCTTTTTTTTGCGGGACGCAACTCACCTACTGATAATAATTTCGGACGCAAGTAGTATGCTCCCATAAAAAGGTTATACACTTCTTTAGATGGTCATATTATTTTTATTGTGTTGAAATTTGTTTCAGGGTAGTTTATAGGAAAGACAAAAAATAAAAATATATAAAATAGCAAACATAATTAGGTTATTATACATACAACAATAAACCAAGATCGTTAATATTGATTTTAATATGTAATTTCGTCCAAATTTGAATTTAAAATGTCTGTAAAAAATAACTGTGTTCATATATTTTTTAGATTTTTTGGTTACAGTATGAACTATTTATGAGAACCTTTGTTTTAAATTTGCATATTATCTTTAGCTATAAAAACTGAACATTTTATAATTTATTAATTACAATGATTGATAATTTTCGAGATTTTGATAAATTTTGTCAAAGTTCGATGTTTAAATGCTTATAAAAAAAATTGTGCATATGTATTTTTAATATTTTTCAATTGCTACTGTAACAATATATCAGGGGCCGTGTATTAATTTTTCACACTTTTTGGCCCAACAGATAAAACTTTATTAATATTTATAGAAAAAAAAACTAAAAAATTGAAAACTGAAAATGTCCGTAAACGGCTCAAAAAGAGTCAAAATATTTTCAAAATTGTATGGTGTATAGGAAATGCTAATATAAACATTCAGTGAAATTGTCATGTACCTACAGTAATTCGTTTTTGAATTACAACAAAATAAGGAAATCGCCACATGAGAAATCGAGTGAATATCCAATGTTGTAAAAATTTGAATTTCAAACGCTCATAAAAATTTAATTTTACTTTCTTATAGAATTTTTTTTTTTGATAAATGTAGGAAATCTTATAAGAAATCTTTCTATTACATTTTCATATCTTAG